TTTTTTTTTTTTTTGGTACTGGAGATTGAACTCGGGACCTTGCGCTTGCAAGGCGGAACCACTGAGCTGAATCCCCAGCCCAGAAAGTTCCTTTTGAATTGTGCAAATTGTCAGGAGTTTCTCTCTCCTTTGAAATCAGGGTTTGAAATCGGCTGTGCGGCCGAAGGCAGTAGGCTCCGCCCAGCGTAGCCCTGGGACAGCTGTGCTGTAATTAAGCCAGCTCACTCCATCCTCAGTGCAGATGGCCAGGCCAGGCCAAGGGCTTTCACCCACTCCTGTAATCCCAGCACTGGGGAAGCAGAGGCAGGAGGATTGCCTTGAGTTTGAGGCCAGCCTGGGGCAGATAGTTCAGGGCCAGCCTGAACGGCACACAAGACCCTGTCTCAAAAAGCCAAATAAAATAAAAAATTTAAAAAGAATATAAATGGAGGTCCGCGGAAGCCAGGAACATAACTCTTCTTCCATAACCATCACAGAGCTGTCCATCACTAGTTGGAACAGTTCTTAGCCTGCCACGGTAGTGCACAACTGTAACCCCAACTACCAGGAAGGCTGAGGCAGGAGTGTCTGAAGTCTGGGCCATTTAGTGAGTTTGAGGCTAGACCAAGCTTCATAATGAGACCCTATCTCAGAAAACCCAAACGAAGGGAAAACTGGTCCTTGGGTAGCAGGGGACCAGGTGGGCCCTGGGAGGGCAGGAAGGGCACTCCTTCCAGGCAGAGGGACCAGGCTGCACCTCCACTCGGTGTTTGCCGATGGGTCCTGTCCTCTGTCCCTGTCCCTTAACCCGAGCTCCCCAAAGGGGACACAGCGGTGAACAGGTCTACACCACATTGCAGTGCAGGAACTGGTGACACAAGCACGCAGAAGGAGCCAGGCGTGGCATTGCATGCCTGTCCTCCTGGCTTTTTTGGAGGCTGAGGCGGGAGACCGCAAGTTCAAGCCGTGCCTGGGGAATTGAGCCTCTTGGTGAGACCCTGATTGAAAAAGAAACTAAAAGGGCTGGGGATGTAGCTCAGTGTGAAGGCCCTGGGTTCAAACCCCAGTAGCACAAACATAAATAAATAAATAATAAATGCCACGAGTCGCGCTGCTGGGGCCGGGGGCGGAGCCAGTCCTGTGAGGGCGACTCCGGACGCCAGGGAGGGACCCAGACCCGGGCGGAGGGATGAGGGATGAAGGTCGAGTTGCCTACGAAGACCACACCCGGAGGAGGGGCTCGAGGACCAGATTGGAGACTGAAGCCCAGCTCAGGCGCCTGCGAATTTGGGGTCTGGGGAAGCGGCTCCCTCACACGCGGTAGCTTTGAGCAGCATCCTCGCCTGGTGGAAGGAGAAAGGGTCTCTAGGCCCTCATATTATTTATTTATTTTAAAATATTGTTTTATTTATTTGATATTGGGGGTCGAACTCGGGACCTTGAGCTTTGCAAGACAGGCGTAGTGCCAACTGAGCTAAATCCCTGGCCCTTAAAATATTGTTTTATTTATTTTGAGACAAAGTCTCGCTAGGTAGCCAGGCTGGTCTCTGACTAGTGGCGATCCTCCTGTCTCAGCCTCCCCAGTGCTTCGGTTTGAGAGATTTTTCAGAGAAAGGAGGAGGGAAGGGGAGGGGAGGGGAGGGGAAGGAGATCACAAGAGGGACTTTGTTTTCTTGGGTTAAGAGGCAAGAAGCAGCCAGGCGGGTAATCCCAGCGCTGTGGGAGGCTGAGGCAGGAGAACCTCAAATTTGAGCCCTGTCTGGGTAATTTAGCGATTTAGAGAGACCTTGTTTGAAAAGAAAGAGATAAAAAGAGACGAGGTTGTAGCCCAGGGCGCAGCTGGGGCCTCGGTCCCCAGCCCTGGCGCTGGCCGGAGGGGAGGGAGCTGGAGACGGGGCTGGCGGGCCGCGCTGACCCCGCCCCGGCCCTGGGCGGTGCTCCTGGTAGCAGCGGAGCTGAGCGGCGCCCGAGCTGGACGAGGTTGCGGTCCCGGCCCGAGGAGACCCGGGCCACCTGCTACGGAGCAACAGCTGCGACCCGACGCGCGCGCCTGCGACCCACCCCAGGTCAGGTCCGCGGGTCCCTGGGAGAGGGGCGTAGGGTGGGCAGTGACTACAGGGGTGACTCGGGAGACCCGGGCAGGCGGAGGAGACCCGGGCTGCTCCTCCTCCCGCCAGGTGGGAAGCTGAGGTCCAGGTGGGGCCCCATGGGCGGGGAGCGGCTTCCGCGGGGGCATCCGCTCCAGGAGGGCACGCTGATTCCTGCTAGGTGGGCTGTGTGCCTCACTTTCCTTATCTGTCGCCTAGGAGCAGAAGTTCCCACCTTCTGGACAGATTCAGCTGGGCCTTTGGCCCTGAGAAGGTTAAAGAGACATCTTCCACCTGGGCTGGCCAAGTAGCTCAGGCCGGTAATCTCAGCACTCCAGGAGGCTGAGACAGGAAGGTCTCAAGTTCAAGGCCAGCCTGGAGTATGTAGTGAGACCCTGTTCTGATCCTTCCCATTTGGCCCCTCAACTGCCCAGTGGCTTCCTATTTGTCACCCTCACCAAAGAATGGAGAAGCTATCCTGCTGGGGGCCACATGGCAGCCCCAGAGCACTCCCACTCCCAGCCTTGGAAGCTTGGAATCTTGTCCGGTCCCTAAATCTGACCACACCCACTGTGTCCATAGCCAGTGGCCAAGTGGGGGCTGCAAAAGGAAGCCCTCAAATCCAGGACCAAAATCCCAGGGAAAGGGAATGGGGGACAGAGAGATGATGACCTGTGTCATTGAGGCCTGGGTAACTGTCCCTGGTGTGGCTAGGACACTCAGGATAAAGGACAAACTCCAAAGTGCAGAGTCTTCATTTAAAAATGTGGTTTTGGGGGCTGGGGATTTAGCTCAGTGTTTCTGCCGCTTGCCTCGAAAACATAAGGACCCAAGTTCGATCCCCAGTACCAAAAAAATTAAAAAAATAAAAAAATAAAAATGTGTTTTAGCCAGGTGTGGTGGTGCACAGATGGTCTATTCCCAACACTCCAGGAGGCTGAGGCAGGAGGATCTCAAGTTAAAACCCAGTCCAGGGGCCGGGGATTTAGCTCAGTGGTTCCGACGCCTGCCTCCCAAGCGCAAGGTCCTGAGTATGATCCCCGGTACCAAAAAAAAAAAACCCAGTCTAGGCAATTCGGTGATTTAGCCAGACAGGACTCATAATTTAAAGATAAGAAAATCCTGGTGTGATGGCACAGGCCTGTAATCCCAGCACTTGGAGCTGACAAGACTCTGTCTCAAAAAACAAAACAAAAGAAAGAAAAGGAAAGAAGCGGGCAAGGAGCTCAGCGTGAAGGGCCTGTGTGTGTGTGTGGACACTGACTGCTACATCAGCCCCAGCCAGCCACCCCAAGACCCCTGGGGCATGGTGTCCCCAACCCGTCAAGGGCTCTTTTGCTCAACTCAATGGAAACCCTGAGACTGAGGCTGGGGACTCGAGGAGAAATCTCTTCCTGCCGCTGTGAGAGGCAGGGCTGATTAGGCCGGGTCCCCAGGTGAGAGACACAGAGGGCCTCAGCTTGGGAGCTGGAGGTGACTCCAAGGAGGAGCAGCCCAGTGTTCCCAAGCCTGGGAGGTGGGGCTGCTGCGGCCGGGATTGCAGTTCTCTGCCACCTCTCAGGCTGGCCGGCAGGGCCAGCAGCTGCGGGGCCCAGTGTGTGGCTCTGCTCCTGGTCTAGGGGTCTTGCTGGGGGATGGGAGACACCCCGGGTCCCCCCGCTGTGCAAGGCACCTGTTCCTTGTGGTGAGCACAGGGCCCAAGGGGGCTGTGGGTGTGCAGGTTACCAAAGGAGTGGAAAAGGGGGGATGTCCCCATCTTTAGTGGGTGATTAAGGGGCTGGATTAAGGCCTGAGAGGTCATGTCTCATGATGGTTCCCCGTCTCTTTGATTTTTTGAGACAGGGTCTGGCTGTGTAGCCCCAGTCTGGCCTCAAACTCACAGTGATCCTCCTGCTTCAGCCTCTACCAAGCCATGCCTGGATCCCCTGCCTGTCCTTTTGTATGTACTTCAGTGCTTACATCGTGTTGAGTCGTGTTTAGTTAATAGTTCTCCTTTGATATTTAAGATGTTTTTTGTTAAGCCTGTACTTATAGCCTGAGAACATCAGTTCTAACCCAGGTTCACTGCCTAGAATGGAAAATGAAGGATCGAGCAAACAAATGAGTGACGGAAATGGGAAAACCTAACAAAGATCAGCTCCCTTTGCAAACACCTCTCTCGGTGCAGGAAACCCTTGTGGCCCTGCCTGGCCTCCTGTGCACCAAGGTTGTGATATGCTGGGTGTCTGCCTCCCTGGACTGTGGGACCGGGGAAGTGACTGCCCCTGTGGTCTCGGCGTAGGGGCAGATGTTCACCCAGATCCTAACCCCTTCTGGGAACCACCCTGGTGGTGATGCAAATGGCCAGACATTTCTGTTGCTAATAATGCAATACCACAAGCTAAGTTAGAAAGAAAAGAGAGATTTTTTTTTTTAAACTGGGGATCCAAATCAGGGGCACTGGAGCCCTGAGCTACACCCCCAGCCCTTTTTAAATTTTAAGACAAGGTTTCTCTAAATTGCCCAGACAGGACCTGAACTTGAGATCCTCTTGCCACAGCATCCCCCAGGCTGGTGTTACCCTAGCACGGCTGTGAGTGCCTTTTTGCTGGCAAACTTAGAAAGTTTCTTGTTTTGTTTTGTATCACAAAGCGCCAAAATGTTACTGGGAACTCCTGTATCAAGGTAGCCTGGTCAGGAAGGAAGGAATGAATGAACTCTGTAGTGCACTGCTGGGCTTCTGGAGTGAGTCTAGCCTGCTGGCTCTGCAGATGGCTAGTGCTGTTGCACGCTTTGTACTTTCTCCGCTCTGGGGGTGCATTTCTCAGCACTTCCTGGAGCCAAGAAATTTGCAGGATCTTGTAGTGCGTGCTGTCCGTGTGTGGAAGCCCTGTGCATGGCTGGTGCGTGTGTCCAAGCTCAGGGTGAGGGCTGTGCCCGGCCCCTCTGTGTGGCGAAGATCTTTATCTGTCCGTCAGTGGCTGTGGGTTTTGCTGGCGTGTGCTTGTGGATGCTTGAGGCTCAGGCCTTTGCATTTTTACTTCACCTTCCTGCTTAGAGATGAGGTAGACCTGGCTGCTTTTCGTGTGGATAGGAGGAGCTGGACTGAGGCCCCAGGGGACCTGGGGTGGGTTGGGGAGGGGAGGACACCGCACTGCCCCAGGGAGCTACGGAGCAGGGGCTGGAGGTCTCCACCTCCCTGGGCTTTGGCTGGGTTGTTTACCCGGCTGTCCGCTGAGCCCTCTCCCTTGAGAGGTGGCAGGTGGTGCCATCCTGGTGTGGTGACACTCAGAAGCTGGAGAGCGTCCTCTTCAGGGTCACGGAGCTGAGTTCGAGTCCAGCTCCCTACTGACCACAGCCGCAGCCCCTGTGGTCACGTCCTCCCTGGTGCCCCGTTTCTAGTAGATTTCAGGGAAGCGGCTCCACCCAGCATCTGGACCCTGGCCAGTGTCCCTTCTTCCCTCTCCACCTCCTCATGTCCCTGTGGACGGATCTCAGCGCAGCCGAGGGACTGGAGAAGCGGCTGTCTGCCCGGCTGACCCCCGGAGCAGGACCACACCTTCGTACCACGCTGCTCACCTGGCTTGGAGGTGGCTGTCCCTTCCTGCTATCGAGGTGACTTGGGGACAGGGCTGTGCCTTCAGATGTCCCAGCCTCCGTGGCTCCTCTCTCGGGTCACACCCGGACACTGGGGCGATGGGGGTACTGGGTGCTCTTGTTTCCTGACCTGAGTCAGCCCTGCCCCTGACTCCCCACTTTACAGCCAAGGAAACTGAGTCAAGGCTGCTGCTGTTTATCACAGTGACATTGAGCCCCTACCCCAGTATAGTCTGGCCCACAGGCAGAAAACCCTTCCCCGCCAGCAAAGAGGGGTGGCGAGCCCCATCTCTGCACCCCTTTTTTGTTTTGTTTGTTTTGAAACTCGTTATGTAGTTCAGGCTGGCCTTGAACTCACTGTATAGCCCAAGCTGGACACAGACATGCAGCAGTCCTCCTGATTCAGCCTCCTGAGTGCTGGGATTTCAGTTTGTTTAATTTTGAGAATTGTTTAATCGACACATAATGTTTGTCCACATTCAGGAGGTACAGTATGATAATTCGATATAAGTACACTGCACAAGGATCAAACCAGAGTACGTAGTATTCCCATCTCCGCAAATGTTTATTCTTGCTAGGAGCTAGGAAACTGAACTCTTCTGGTTATTTTGAAATAGGTTGCAAGTTGCTGCAGACCGTGGTTACACTGCTGGGCCGCAGGGCAACAGAGTGGATGCTGACTGCCAGCTGGTGGCTGGTGGCAGCCATCGTTCCCTCCCTCCCCAGCCTCCAGTTGCCTCAGTTCCACTTGCTTCTCTTATGAAACCCCCACTTTTGGGGAAGAGTATTGGGAATTGAATCTAAACTGAGCTACATCCCCCACCCCAGCACCTTTAAAAATTTTTCTTTTTAAATTTTTAGACAGAGTCTTGCTAAATTGCTAGATTGCTCAGGTTGGGCTCAAATTTACAATCCTCCTGTCTCAGCCTCCCAGAGAGCTGGGATTACAGGCATGCGTCACTGTGCCCAGCTGAGACCGACTTTAGTTTCCACAAACGAGTGAGAACATACAGTGTTTGTCTTTCTGAGCCTGGTTTGTTTCACTTAGCATAATGTCCTCCAGTTTTAGCCTTGTTTTGGCAACAGGCAAGAATTCATGTTTTTGTGGCTGAGTCTGATTTGGTTGTGTACATAGGCCAAATGTGCTACATCTGTTCATCTACGGTGTGCAGCCTGGTCAGTTCCACATCTTGGCTGTGGTTCCTCAACTCTTAAATACTAGTTAATAACAAGAAGGCGGGGCATGATACCCTATGCCTGTAATCCCAGCATATGAGAGGCTGAGGCAGGAGGATCTTTGTGAGTTCAACGGTAGCCTGGACTACATAGTGAGACCCTATCTCAAAAAACCAAAAGTAAGTGGGCTGGGGATTTAGCTCAGTGGTTTCGCCTCCTGCTGCACAAATGCAAGGACCCCAGTTCGATCCCGGTACCAAAAAACAAAACAAAACAAAACAAAAGTAAGTGGGCCGGGGATTTAGCTCAGTGGTTTCGCCTCCTGCTGCACAAATGCAAGGACCCCAGTTCGATCCCGGTACCAAAAAACAAAACAAAACAAAACAAAAGTAAGTGGGCCGGGGATTTAGCTCAGTGGCACCATGCCTGCCTTGCAAGCGCAAGGTCCTGAGTTCAATCCCCAGTACAAAAAAAAATGTCAGTAAAATAAAATAATAAGAGGAACTTGCCAGGGCTGGGGATTTAGCTCAGTGGTTCCAGTGCCTGTAGCGCAAGCGCAAGGTCCCGAGTTCAATCCCCAGTACCAGAAAAAAAAAAACTTGCCACACAGGAATCAGGAGGATTAGAAAAGCAAGTGTGTGGCGATCACTGGATCAGAACCCACACCCTGTGGGCTCTCCAGTGCTCATGTTGTGAAACTACACAGCCCCTCCTGACGGCAAGCTTTTTTTGGTTGTTTTTCGGTACCAGGGATCGAACTCTGGTCCTTGCCGTTGGGCAGCAGCCAGGGAAACCATTGAGCTAAATCCCCAGCCCCCAGCCCAGCTTTTAATACAGGGTAACTGGTTGTGGGAGCAGACTTCAAGGGTTGCCAGCAGCACAGTCCATGCCAGGATTGAGGTTGTCACTCGGGAAGAGGGGACAGACATGCAGGTGGCGGAAATGACAGCCATCACTGTGGTGTCACTTATAAAAGCCCAACATAGAAACTGCATTTCCAGTGTCAGGACAGGAAAAAAGGACAGTGGAAACTGGAGCGGCTGAGGCCTTGAGGCTGCCCCGGAAACCCCGGGGGAGCTGTGGGCCTGACACTGGGGAGCCCTGGGGTCCGCCTCACCCTCACTGTCCCAGGGAGAGTGTCAGGTCTGGGTGCCAAGGACACTAAAGTGCTTGGCGCTAGAGTCCCTTAAATAAAAATATGCAGCTGGGTGTGGTGACTGGCACACGGCCCTTAGTGCCAGGCCAGCCAGGATCACTGACCACCTGGGCGTGTGTCCCTGTCACTGGACAGGGTCCTAGGAGGTCCCTCAACCCACTGACCTACAGGATGAAGTCGCAGATGTGCTGACTTGAACAAGTGTTTTCAGGATGCATCAGTTCGAGACAAAGGGATTTATTAGGCCGACAGTTAAGTACTCACTCTGGAAATAGAGTGTGAGAGGCATTATGTACGGGAGCTGGTGTACCCATCTCAGGATGATGGCACACTCCTGTAATCTCAGTGGTTGGGAGGCTGAGACAGGAGGATCTCTGAGAGTTCAAAACCAGCCTGAACTACATAGCAAGACCATGTCTCAAAAAAACAAAACAAAACAGGTTTCAATTCCGATTTTCCTGGTCTTCCTTCCCACAAACCCCAAAGGGCCAAGGGCACGGCCAGGTTCTCTCATCACCCTCCCAGCTGGGAGCAGAGGCCCAGTATCGCGGTCACCCCCCCCAGGGATCAGGGCCAGCACCGGGGCCCCTTATGGCTGTGACTGGAAGCTCCCGGGGACGTGGTGGGGAAAGAAGGAACTGCGCTGGCAGCTCGGGAGTCCCTGAGCTGGCGGTGCCCTCCCAGCTGCCCCGAGGCTGTTGCAGTGGCCTCAGAACTGCCGGGTCCCCCACCGGTGGGACCCGGAAGACCCCTTTCGGATGAGACCCCCTGGGCTCAACACAAGGCAGGCCACTCGGGAGAGTGAGACTCAGTGACCCCAGGGTGCCGCCTCCCTGTGAGCTCCCCCAGCGGTGCTGGTCCACACCAGGCTCAGGCCAGTCCCTGTCCCCAGGCAGCCCCCATGGGAGCTTCTCCGCAGTGCTTGTCCCCATCCGATGTGGTGCTTGGCTCAGTATTTCCCAGGGTGTCGCCATCTCTGCCCTGCTGGGCGCCACGAGGGCGCCCAGGCCTGGCCCAGCTTCTTCCAGGGTGACCTCTGGCGTCAGGCTGAGCAAGGTTTAATTTGAGACCTGTTTGTCCCGTCTGTCCCGTCATGCCCCCCCACCCTCCCCCCCCACCCCGTATCTCAGTGCCTTTGGCAGGGCAGGGAGGGGCAGGTGGCCTTGGGACTCTGTAAAAGGTCCCTAAAGACTACTCCTGACGGAATGAACAGCAGATTAGGGAGGTCTTTCTGGAAGGGTCCTAAGGGATCGTCTTTTCTAACTGGGTCACTATCTTACAGATGAAACCGCCTCAGGATGGGGAGGTCGTCCTGCAAGATCAAAGTGCAAGTTTGGGGATGGTAGAAAGCAGGGGTGTTGTTCATGCAATATCCAGTCCTGGAAGATTGTTAAAATAAGTAAGCCGAGTGTGACAGGCCATGCTTGTAGCCCCAGCCCTCTGGGAGGCTGAGGCAGGAGGATTACAAGTTTGAGCCAGTTTAGGCATTTTAGCAACTTACCAAGATCCTGTCTTTAAGTAAAAAAGAGCTGGGGCTGTACCTTGGTGGGAAGGCCCTGGGTTCAGTGTCCTGTACAGGAGAGGACAGGAGGGGAGGGAAGGGATAAAGGGAGAAAAAGGACTCTATTACTGATCCCATGGCGTCCTCTCACTGCCTGATTTGTTTTTGTGGTGTCAAGGACCGAACCCAGGACCTTGTACCTGCACTGTCCCCAAAGCCACACTCTCAGGCCTATTTTTAATCTTTAATGCAGTAAAAAGGAGAGAGTGAAGCACCATGGGAACTTTCTTTCAAGGAGAAGAAACCCAAGACTTCTAACTCGGGCTGGATTCCCAGCTGCCTTCGTGTGGACATTTCCATCGCCAGCGTGGTTGAGCTGATAAAGAGCACCGCCTGCTGCTTGGACTGCGTGCGGTGGGCAGAGGAAGTGACCAGGACAGCCATCCATCCACATGGGCTTCCTTAACTGAGCCTGAAAGTCGAGGAGGTCAGCTAGGCATGGTAATCCAAGCACTCAGGAGGCTGAGGCAGGGGGATCCCTGCAAGTTCAAGGCCAGCCCAGAGTACATAGTGAGACTGTTTTAAAAAACAGGGCCGGGGATTTAGCTCAGTGGTTCCGCCGCCTGCCTCACAAGTGCAAGGACCAGAGTTCGATCCCCGGTACAAAAAAACCCCCAAAAGTTGGGGATGGCTATTTCACTCTGCCCCTGAGAAGCCACCCCTACCCCCAGCTGGAGTTACCCTGGGAGGAAGAGGTGGACTCAGAGCAGCACGATGGGTGCTCTTGGACTGCTGAAAGCTCCGGTCCTTGAATATGGAGTGTGAAAGGCTTTGACCTCACCGAGTACCCTCCGATGGCCAGGCAGGGGATACTAATTACATTTCTAACAGTGATGATTGCATTTGCCCGCAGTTTATATTGCAGACAGCATTTCCTGGATTAGTTACCACTTTTGATCCTGGCCCCGTGCAGGGGGCCGGGATCAGTTCCACATTCATTGAAAGCACTGGGACCAAGCACAGCCTCCTGGCACTGGGCTGGACCCCAGGCTGAGCAGGGCCCCCACTGGTGTCTGCAGTATCAGCCTTGCAGTTGACTCAGCCTCTGCTCAGGGAGTCCTGAGCTTTTCTAATCTTTTGCTACTGCAAACAGATCTGTAACCTTGGCCAAGGTCGCATCTCTGG